TATACCCTGAGCAAACCAAAATTGAAAAAGACACACGTACCCCAATGTTCACTGTAGCACTATTTACAGTAGCTAAGACATGGAAGCAACCAAGATATCCATCGACAGATGAATGGTTATTGTACATATATACAATGGAATATTACTCAGCCATAAAAGGAATGAATTTGAGTCAGTTCTATGAGGTGGATGATCCTAGAGCCAATTATTATACAGAGTGAAGTAAGTCAGAAAGAGAAAAACAAATATTGTATATTAATGCATATATATATATATATGAAATCTAGAAAGATGATACTGATGAACTTATTGCTAGGGCAGTCAGACACAGCTGCAGTGACTTAGCATGCAATGGAGATGCAGACATGAGAAAAGACTAATGGACATGGGAGGGGGTAGGAAGGAGAGGGTGGCACAAATGAAGGGAGTAGCATGGAAATACATACACTACCATACGTAAAACAGATAGCCAATGGGAATTTGCTGTATAATTCAGAGAACTCAAATCAGGCTCTGTGACAACCTAGAGGAGGAGATGGGGTGGAAGGTGGAAGGGAGGTTCAAGAGGGAGTGGACATATGTATACCTATGGCTTATTCATGTTGACATATGGCAGAAACCAACACAATATTGTGAAGCAATTATCCTCCAACTAAAAATAAATAAATTAAAAAAAAACAGCTTGTAGTTTGAATTATTTCTTTAATAATGAGGATGGATTTTGGCTAACTATACTTTCCATTTAATATTCTTCACTTTTTCTTGAGTCAACTTAGGAGGACTTTGAATAGAACAAAGCTATCCTATATGGTAGAGTGTTAGTGACTCAGTCATGTCCGACTCTTTGTGACCCTCATGGACTGTAGCCCACCAGTCCCCTCTGTTCACCAAATCTTCCAAGCAAAAATACTGGAGTGGGTGGCCATTCCTTCTCCTGGGGATCTTCCTGACCCAGGGATTGAAGCCAGGTCTCCTGTATTGCAGACGGATTCTTCACTGTCTGAGCCACCAGGGAAGCCCATATGGTAACAAGTCATAATCTAAACCTCTTGTACCACATGCTTTTGAGTGAAACCAAGTGTCCTCATTAAAGGAAAAAGATGTTCAAGATTATCTTTAGATGTTAAGATACTAGACCTGCTTTAAATAAAATAAGTTCAATACATATATACTTATAAATTACATCCTTAAGGAGCATGATTTCAGTCAACCCTATAAATTGTATGGCATGGTAGAAAAAGTACCAGATATACAGTAAAATAATGTGTATACTAAAATTATTTTTTGAACAAAGTATTAACCTCTCCATATCTGTTTCTTCACCAAAAAAAAAAGAAAGAAAAGAAAATTAGAGTAGAAACCAGAGCAGAGAGTAGTTGGTGGCTTCTTTGTGTATTAGTCAAAGTTCTTCTGGTTCCAAACCCTAAATTTACTCAAGCTGGCTTAGGCAATAAAAAAGAACTTTTTTAACAAACAAAAAAAGAGAGAGAGAGAGAGATGCTGAAAAATTAAAGGGAGGAGTAGTAACACATCACTAGGATCTTATTCAGTTCTTTTCAAGCTTTTCTGATACATACATCCCAACCTTGACCACAGATGAGGAATGGTCTTTGCTAAAATTGTTTACATCAGTTCAAGAACCAGAAAGAACATGTCTACAAATATTTATTATAAAGTCATAGATTAATCTGTGTAAATTTTTTCCAAATGGTAATATACAACTTTCTGAGGTCTAGACAGACTTTATCTGTGGCATACAGTGTTACCAGCAGCCACACATGTTATTTTGGGAAAATTGGGGGATCTAAGAAAAGCTACTTTGTAATGTGCTGTTTCTTCCCCTACCTCATATGGCTACCTTTTTTCAGCTAAATTTTTGTGTTCTTTGCTAAATAAATCAAGCATTTAATCTGTGAGTTTGTGTGCATGAATTCACACAGAGACAGAGGATCTCTTACCACCAATCTATAACTTGCCTGAAAAGACACTTCAATAACCAAAATGTCCATTATTAAAATAAAAATAAAATATCCCTAACTTCAGTCTTGCAATCACCAGAAAGCATTTTGATTTTATACATCTCTACTCCTTTAATTATATGGTTCCTCATCCTAAAACACACATACTTGTCTCCTCCTCTCCTCTCTTACCTTCATCAATTCCCACTACCTCATCCCCCAGAAACAAAAGGGGAAACTAAGCAGATGTGTAGCAGGTGTTCACAACAATAGTACTTACCATTATGCCATATTTGTTTCTTTTTGTGTTTATTCCTCTGTTGAATGGTATGCCAGAAAAGAGCCAGATGGGTTTTTTTCATATTTAAACATCCAGAGCCTAGAGAGCATTTATTAAAATCTGTAAATATGTATTTATTTAGAAATGGAATTTGACATAGAAATATGCCCAGGATGAAGACACCGAAGATCTAGTTGTCTGTAATGCTCTGCCCTCTCTTACCTCCCATATATTCATGTAATCACTTTGGTCCACTTTCTATGCCCAACTTTAAACGTCCCATATGTAGGACTAGTTTCTCCTAGAAGCAAAACTAGTTTCCCCATTTTCTCTCACTTCCTCCAGTCTTACTTCAAAGATCCAGTACTTGGTCCCCTTCAAAGCCAAAAGTATCTATCCCAGGAGAAAATGAATTGAAATACACTTGTAACTATAAAAGGCTCAAACCCCTACTGTGGGAGTGTTATTTGCAAAGTGAAGAACAATGTTGCCTCTGCACTTAACTATTACCATCACTACTCCATTCAAGGCACTAACCAAAGATGGAAAACCCCAGCCTGAGCTTTGATTAACCCTACTTGAAATTTATTAGCATTTGATAAATGTCACTCTTGACAACACTGCTTATCCTCTAAAAGTAGCTACTTTTTCCTATTTTCATGGCCATATCACAGCAGTTTTAGATGTTCAAATTATGGGGTAGTAACTCTGATGTTGGAATTAGGAAAAGGAGTGTTGCTGTTTAGTTGCTAAGTCGTATCCAACTCTTCTGCAACCCCCAGGACTGTAACACCCCAGGTGCCTCTGTCCATGGAATTTCCCAGGCAAGAATACTGGAATGGGTTGTTTCATCCTTCTCCAGGAGATCTTCCTCAACCAGGGATCGAACCCACGTGTCCTGCACTGGCAGGCAGATTTTTTACCACTGAGCCACCAGGGAAGCCCAAGAAGAGTAGCCAGATCCAATAGTGATGTTACTCAAGAATGGCTTTATAAGGGGACATTCTCAGAGTAGGCGCCACTGTCCAACATCTGCTTCTCAGCCACTAGCTTCTCAGTCCCTCCAGAGATAATTAGATCCTTGATAACAGATCAGCTATAACTAAAATCACATACCTTACTTATCAGAATGTCTATAGTTTCTTTTTAGAAATCAGTTATCCTTTTCAGTGACAGCACCCTCTTTCCTAAAAATAGCCATTGTCTGAAGTTGTAGCTTAACACAAGTCAGTCTGTACCACTGATTAAACCTTCCTGATGTGCTCCTCGTGGCTTGAAAGTTTTTATCTTTAGTTTATCTTTACATTCTTTGTTTCATTTTCTGGAGTCTCAATAGACTGTTAACCTATTTGCCTGGCTTTTTCCCAAAATAGTATGGAGGCATTCACTGACTGGATCTTCTATCCAGCTAGTGAGAGGGCAAACTAAATTCCCAAATATACAAAGCTGAAGATGTGGCAGAATAACCACTACTATTTATTTCTGTTCAAGAGGACGATACTAAACAACACGATTTAAGTAATACAGACGTTGATATATTTTAATACAACAAAGTCACATTATTTCAATTTAAAGACAGGCCTTCTATATGATAAAAAATACTTTCTCCAGCAACTCTGCCAGTGAAGATCTATTCAGTGGAAGGTTGAAATTCTAACTCTAGCCTTTTGCCAGTTGGTGATATTGAGCAATATACTGAGAGTCTCTCGGCTTTCCTCAGTACAGCGGTTAGGATCCGAAGTCAGTAAGTGTGGGGGAGGAGGTGAGAGCCTCTCATAATTATATCTTCGAAAAATCACTTGAATTACACAGTAAACCTTATGGGCACTAAATTTGAGAAAACACTTAACAAATAAAAAGGAATGTATATATACATTTGGGGCTTCCCAGGTAGCTAGTGGGTAAAAAATCCGCCTGCCAACACAGGAGCGGGGGATTCGATCCCTGGGTGGGGAAGATCCCTGAAGAAGGAAATAGAAACGCACTTCGGTATTCTTGCCTGGAAAATTCCATGGCCAGAGGACCGAGGAGGGCTACCGTCCCTTCAGTAGCAAAAAAAAAGTCCAACACGACTAAGCGATTAAAGAACAAAACAAAATATGCATATGTCTAGGCATTAAAGTCATTCTGGTTTTAACTCTAAAATCACTAACAGTGAACAGAGTACGGCTAGAAAACACAACTCCAGTGCTTAATAAATATTAATGTTCTTCCTTTCTTCTGCCCTACATTCGAACAGCAAGTCTCCCAGAGCGGTCGTTTTAACGCGGTTATGCCTGAGGCGTAGAAATTTATCCAGCGAAACTCAAAGGTAAGAAACTTTGTAACCCGCTCAGGGTTCTCTTCCTGACACTGGCACTTAGAGGCGCCTCGCTAAACACAAGGATGAATTATTATTTACCACAGATTAGAGCTTGGGCCATTTCAGTGTAATAACACCTCAGAAATTTTAAAACGAAAACTTGTTACACATTTCACTACCTCAGAGCGAAATCGGCCCTTAGCCCCGGAAAAGCTTGCCCCAATCCTCCCGGCTTCCGTAATCTCGCTCAATTTCGCGATACCAAAACTGCGCTCCGCAGCACCGCCGCTGGGGGGCGGCTCCAGAACACTTCCGGGAAGCCACTCTGGAGGTGTTTGCGATGTGTGCTTCCGGCGGCTTTCAGGCCGCTTCCTCAGCCTCCACGACCACGGCCTGAAGTAGTGGGCACCGAGCCGGGGGCTGGCAGCCCACTGGCCTTTGGTCACGACAGTTTCTAGCCATGGACCGAGACCTCTTGCGGCAGTCACTAAATTTCCACGGCCCGTCTTTGCTCTCCCTGCTCCGGAGCGAACAGCAGGACAACCCACACTTCCGGAGCCTCCTGGGGTCGGTGGCCGACCCTGCCCGGGGCCCGCCAGGCCAGCAGCAGTTACCGGGCAGGTAATGGGACGGCGGCGCCGCTGCGAGACGGGAAAGGGGACGCAGCTCTGGGCTTCATCACCGCAGTCCGGCTGCTGAGCCGAGGCTGTGAGCACGTGAGCACTGCGGCGCCGGCTTCGAGGGCAGGATGGAGGAGGATACCTTCTCCCTGATGTGGGCAATGCGGGATGTGGTTTGAACTTTTAAATCTAGTTCTGCCACCAGAGGCGCGGATTCTTTAGCTAAAATCCTTTGGGCTTGTGTCTATCTGGAACAGCGCGGTTGTTTTTTTAAGTTTCCGCGCCCTCCATCTACAGACTGGCGTATGAGGGGATCCCTGGTTAAAACTTTTTTTCGGAGGATGTGTGGCCAAGAGCTTAGGATGGTCACGATTGGGCGATTAAAGCAGAGAGCAGAAGCTTGTACGTACTAAAAACTTTTGCAGAAAAACCAGTTTTCATAAATTTTGTTTTCTTTTTAAGAAAAGAGAGGAGAGTTGACAACATTGAAATACAAAAATTCATTTCCAAAAAAGCGGATCTGCTTTTCGCACTTTCCTGGAAATCAGATGCACCTACAACTGCTGAAGTTAGTGAAGACAATGATGGTGTGTTTAGTCTTAAAATTGTTGCGTTTTGGTTTAACAGCACTTTGATGAAGCAGAACACAGACTGTTGTTAGTAATTCTGTTACTTATTTTTTCAGATTATTATGCAGTCATGCCACCGTTAGAACAATTCATGGAGATACCTAGTATGGACCGGAGAGAGCTGTTTTTTCGAGATATTGAGCGTGGTGATATAGTGATTGGAAGAATTAGTTCCATTCGGGAATTTGGGTTTTTCATGGTGTTGATTTGTCTAGGCAGTGGCATTATGAGAGATATATCCCACTTAGAAATCACAGTAAGTTATTCACCTTTTAGTTATTTGTTTTTGATAAAAATGTCATCTTAGTGCAAAAATTATATCTTTTCATCCAGCTGTAATTAAGTGTACTCTGCAGACCTAGTTTTTAGAATTAAATAAGTGTTAATAGAAAAATTAATTACTTTTTAATTTTTAAAAAAAAATTATTAGCAGTAATAGAATTACAGTTTCTGCCACCGTTTCTAGTTTGGGGGGTTTGGTCCTTTGTCTGGCAGAAGTGGGGTCCTTTTTTAAATGCTCAGATATTAGTGGACCTGGTGAGATTAGTTAGTAGCCAGGGTTATTTCTTCTAGCTGAAAAGTCTTTAATTATTTAGTATTCAGCATTAGATACTTGCATGTGGGTAATTTAGAAACAAATTCCTGTCTTCCTGTCTTAAGCATATATATTTCCAATAATTAAGTGATTTGTACATCATGATACTTTGCCCAAGGTGAATAGATCTAAATTTGAAATACAGTATGTCACTTTAATTTGAAAGGTTTGATATTATCTATCAAGGCAGATAGAGAGGGAAGAAAACCAGAAAATGCCACAAACTTGGTAACACACCTAAACCTAGAAGAAGTCACATTTCATTTTCTTTGAAAGTCTCCTACTTTCTGGACAGATTTTAGTTTTATATTTAATAAGCACAAAATATCTTTTTGTTTTATCATGCATACTTATATTCAGTTTCTAAAACTAATTGCAAGTTTCATGAGAGTTTAGCTTTGACCTAAACCAGAAAACTTTTTTGTTTATGTTTGGGCACAGAAGTTTAAATTAAGACTCTAGAGTGCTAGTTGTTTTCTTAATATTCCCGTCAAGTCTTAGCTGTTTATACTGAACTGCTAGAATAAAAGAAGACACTTCTCACTGAAGAATAGAATGTCTAGTGTTTTACAGTGCTTCTCATTGCAGGCTCTATGTCCTCTAAGAGACATGCCTTCAATCAGTAACCATGGGGATCCCTTGTCATATTACCAAACTGGTGACATCATTCGAGGTGATCAGTTTTCTCATATTAGTAAAAAAAAGTAACTGTGATCATGTTTATGTTAGTTTGCATTGCTTTGCTAATCAACTTAATTTTCTTATTTTTTAAGCTGGGATCAAGGATATTGACAGATACCATGAAAAGCTTGCAGTGTCTCTATATAGCTCATCTCTTCCACCACACCTATCTGGTATTAAATTAGGTGTAATTAGTTCTGAAGAACTTCCTTTGTACTACAGGTAATTTTATCCACATTGTCTCAACAAGTTAATTGCAAAACAGTTTCTTGGCTAAAAAATTGCAGATTTTGCCCAACTTCTAACAAGAAAGTAGAATTCTAATTTCTATTATTTCAAAATGTGCTAATTTTATTTTTATAACCCATAAATCAGTTCAAACTTGGTAAAAGGAACCAAATCATAATTGCCACACCTTCATGTACAAAAATGGTCTGAGTATTTAAATCCCATATAATAATGTTATTTCCATAATGAAAATGGGACACACTGTTTAATTGTGTTAATCATCTTTATATTTTGTGATTTTTTTTTTTTTTTTTTTAAGGAAAAGCGTTGAACTAAATAGCAATTCTTTGGAATCCTATGAGAATATCATGCAGAGTTCTTTGGGATTTGTTAATCCAGGAGTAGTTGAATTCCTTTTAGGAAAACTAGGAATAGATGAATCTAATCCACCATCTTTAATGAGAGGCCTTCAAAGGTATAGTAAATCAGTATTGTTCTGTTAAGTGGTGAGGTCTGTGGTGCTGATGTGAGAAGCTGCATAACTGAAGAACATAGTTGATTATCCTAAGCTTGGTGGCCAGCAGTATGCCAACATTTGAATGAACTCAGTGATCCCTTCTCCTTTTGGAGTGGAGTCTTAGCAGTGATTGATGTGTGCCATGTTACCAGGTAGATGCAGAAAAAAATCTATAAGATGCAGAAAATTTATAAGAATTTTATGTATATGCTAAAGGAAAATACTTTTTTTAATAATCATTCCTGAGAGTTCAAAAATTTTACATTGTAAATGGGAATACAGATTTCTTGCTTGAGATTCAGTTTTTATCTGTCAGGTAAAGTGAGATGTAGTTACCCAAAAAAATATTTACAGTTTGACTTTTATTTTCTTTAATAGCAAAAATTTCTCTGAGGATGATTTTGCTTCTGCATTAAGGAAGAAGCAGTCTGCATCATGGGCTTTAAAATGGTATGAAGATTTTGTCATTCAACAATTGCATTATTTAACCTAATAGGTTAAGTTAAGGCAAGCATGCTTATGTCATCTTAAAGACAAAATTTGTTTATTAATGAATTTAAATGATACCTTTTTGAGGTTAGCTTTTTTATAGATATAAATGCTACTATGTTGTAAACTTTAAAGATTTACATTTTAGCCAATATTTTTTAATTTTGTTAAAAAGGAATTAATATATTGATATCTGGATTTCATAAATATTTGTTACAAAATTATCCAAAGACTGTTATGAAATTATCCAAATACTGAGAATATTGAAGACTAATAACTAATAAATTTGGTTTGCTTTAAAATTTTATTTATGCTAACATTTTGTTTGGATATTCTGTGAAATATTTGTTATGTATGCTTTAAAATATATTTTTAGTGTGAAGATTGGAGTTGATTATTTTAAGGTTGGACGCCATGTGGATGCTATGAATGAATACAATAAGGCTCTGGAAATAGACAAACAAAATGTGGAAGCTTTGGTAGCTCGTGGAGCATTGTAAGTGGATTGTGGGTTTTGAGGAATATTTAGAAGATAAATGTATATAAGATTTATGAATAGCTCACATGATAAATTCCTCTTAATTTTTTCTCATATCTATAGATATGCAACAAAAGGAAGTCTGAACAAAGCAATAGAAGATTTTGAACTTGCACTGGAAAACTGTCCAACTCACAGAAATGCAAGAAAATACCTCTGCCAGACACTTGTAGAAAGAGGAGGGCAGTAAGTGTCAGATTTGTTTAATAGTAGAGATCTAATATTTAATAGCCAACTACTATAAAATCTTGGACTTAAAGAAATAGCATCTTTGACTTAGCTCAGATACTCTTAGTTTCAGTTTTGGTTGAAAATATTTTTTAAATATAGTCCTTTTTACATTTTCTGGTCCTTTTATCCTTCCTTATTACTTTCTTCATGATTGGAGATATTTTAGTGTCTTGAGTTCACTGTTCTGAGTATGTATTTTAATACATAGAAAGATAATAGGTAAATCTTATCCTGGGCACACACCAAAAGTTTTTGTTTAATAGAAATTTCTAACTCATTTCATCATTCTAGTAATTATAATGCCAGAAATATAAATTGAGAACTCTGTAGTTCATTGTATATAAGATTTCACTGTTGTAGTCAACTTACTGCTCTACTTTGTCTAATAAAATCTATGAACTTAGATTAAATGAAGAGCAAAACATTAAGAACAAACCCTGTAACCTGTATTATACTGTGCTGAGATACTGGCAAAGTACTTGGCATAATGACTAACAGACTAGTCTAATTTATATTTTGAAGAAATATAATACTTTTAATAGAAATAATTTGGTAACAGCCTGCTTTAATAATTAAGGGCCACCATCTTTTTTGCTATCATTTTTTCTTAAATACAATCATCCCTTTTCTGCTTCATGAATTTGCCAGATCATTACAGTTTGTATGATCATTTCAGAACTCCATACAAATGAAATTTTGCAGTGTTTGTTTTTAACTGATAAGAACTTCTACTTGGACCCAAGTGATTGGAGCAGCTTTTTTCTTTCTTACATAGCTTACATAACTGTGCTTAGTCGTTCAGTTTTCTGTCCAACTCTTTGCGACGCCATAGATTGTAGCCTGCCAGGTTTCTCTGTCCATGGGGATCCTCCAGGCAAGAATACTGGTGTGGTTGCCATGCCCTGCTCCAGGGGATCTTCCCAACCCAGGGATCAGACCCAGGTCTCCCGCACTGCTGGCAGATTCTTTACCATCTGAGCCACCAGGGAAGCCCCTAGGTACATAGCTAGTGCCTACTTAGATGTGATTGTCTTACTATTCACATACTTGTGATTTTTAGCTCTGTGAATGGCAACACCATCTATTCAGTCATCCAGTCCAGAAATCTTGATCATCTTTGGCTTGTTCCTTCTTCCCCTCATCCTATCTGACACAGAAGTGATTGCATTGAAACCACTGGGTTTATTCATTTGTTTTACAGTGAATACCTTTTCCTGCTTTCTAAAAACTGAAAATATTGTGCAAAATCCTTTCACTGATCTGTGTTTAAACTTTCTAATTCTGATATTTCACAACATAGACTTGTGAGCATCATCTAATAATGATGATGATTATTCTTTCTGCAGGCTGGTTGTGATATGTGTGCCTTGGTATTTGTGATTTTAGCAGTGAATTTTCAGGGAAAATTTTTCTATAGAAAGGAAAACTCTTCATAAACTACTAGGCGAAGCCAGCCTACATAATTCTGTGCTAAAGCTCAAGATCATACTAAATTTCAGAGGGTGTCAGTTGATCGTGTGTTTTCACAAATTATATTAAAATGCCACTGCTTGACCTACAATATGGCTTTAGTTATCAGTAATGAATTCCTGTTTGTTTTTTTATTTGTTTGAGATATAGTTGACGCATAACTTTTATGTTAGTTTCAGGTTATGTTCAACATAGGATTAACCATTGTGTCTGGTTAACATTCATCATCACACAGTTACATTTTTTTTCTTGTAATGAGAACTTTGAAGATGTACTCTTTTTGCAACTTTCAGATATACAGTATGGTACTACCTATAATCACCATGCTGTATATTACATCCTCAGGACTTTATTTTATACCTGGAAGTTTATAAAATGAACCATTTTCACTCATTTTACCAACCTCCAACCCCACCTCCAGCAACCACGAGTCTATTCTCTGTGAGTTCAGTTTCTCTGATTTGTTTTATGTGGTTTTATATTGTCTTTTACAACAACACTAACAAAAAAATAGCAGAAGCACAGTATTTAAGTATTGTTAAATTTGGAAAATTATTTGCTAAACATAGTTTTTCCCTAATGAACTCACATAAGCTTCTGCCCTATATGCATATTTGAGAACTTCTAATTTTTACCAAAAAAGCTAAATTTTTCTTTTGAATTTAGGTTAGAAGAAGAAGAAAAGTTTTTAAATGCTGAAAGTTATTATAAGAAGGCTTTGGCTTTGGATGAAACTTTCAAAGATGCAGAGGATGCTTTGCAGAAGCTTCATATATATATGCAGGTGATTCTTTATTTCCTCTTAGAAATGTAGTCATTTTAAAAATTAATGCCAAAACTTAACTTTCTTCTAGGGAAACTATTCTAGATCACTTAATTATGGCATTATGAAAAGTTTTTTAGATACAGCTTTTCTTAATTGGGTTTGACATTACTTCATAGTTTTGTTGAGAAATTCCCATTGCCTACTTGGTATGCAGTTGTCCTTGTAGAATTATCCTTGTAGTGAACTTTCCTGATGGTTACAAAATTCAGTATTATTACTGTAATTGAACTAATTATAAAAACCGTTCTGAAAAATATTTTAAACTGTCTTTTCCTGTAATACTGATGATGATGTTTTCTCATGCATTTTCTTCTGAATTGGACCATTGCTGCTGTCTCTGACATCTGGTGCTGCTCATCCCCATCCTCAAACTGGAAAATGATTTCTTATGTAACCATGCATCCAACTGGGCTGTGCTATTTTTTAAATGGTTTGTATTTGAACATGGTGATTCCCTTCTCAACTCACCATATCGGGTGATTCTTCCTTTGAATTTTATTTATAAAATTTGTGTCCTGTTTCAATTTTTAATGTTTTTTTAATATATATTTTTTTCATGGATTTTATTTTTTCTCTTTCTTGCACTCTGGGTCATGGGTATCAATGCACAATGGCTTCCCTTTTTTTTCATGGAATACCGACTGCAATATGGTCCTCAATACTGTTCTGGCTATTCAATGATTAATGCCAAACACCTGTGATTAATTTTTATATGTTAAAAATACTTTTTTAATGCTGGATATATGGTGATTTGGGTATACCACATTTGGTTTCTGGTTGGGGGGTGGGTTGGTCTTTTGAAAACTGGATTTTATATATTCTGCTATTTTTAACGTGTGGTTTTTTCCGATATCTGGGTTCTAAAAGAAATCTTTGGAATTAAGAGAAAAACAAGCTGAAAAGGAAGAAAAGCAGAAAACAAAGAAAATAGAAACAAGTGCAGAAAAGTTGCGTAAGCTCTTAAAAGAGGAGAAAAGGTAAACTATAATATTCAGTATTTTAAAACTTAAAGCAAGTACTCAGTTGAACCAAAGTGCCATTTGGGAGATAAAGTAAGTAAAAAATTAAAGTGTTTCAAGTCATAATCAATGATTCTTAGCAATTATGTGTACCATAGATTTTTCTATAAAAGAGATAAAGCAAAATAGAATGGATGGCTAGAATTCTGCAAAAAAAAAAATTAGAATTAAAATATTATTTTAATTAGCTGTATTTTAGGGAGAAATGTTTCAGAATTAGAGCAGCAGTTCTCAACTGGGTGTGGTTTCCCATGGGACATTTTTGGTTTTCTTAACTGATAGGTGCTACTGGCATCTAGTGGATAGATGTCAGAGATGCTGCTAAACTTAAACAATGATGTAGAATTTCACCACTCCCTGCCCTCCCAGCAAAGAGTTATTTGGCCAAAAATGTTAATAGTCCTGAGGTGGTAAAACCATGAACTCAGTTCAGTTCACTCACTCAGTCCTGTCCGACTCTTTGCGACCCCATGAATCGCAGCACACCAGGCCTCCCTGTTCATCACCAACTCCAAGTTTACTCAAACTCGTATCTATCGAGTTGGTGATGCCATCCTGCCATCTCATCCTCTGTCGTTCCCTTCTCCTCCTGCCCCCAATCCCTCCCAGCATCAGGGTCTTTTCCAGTGAGTCAGCTCTTCGCATGAGGTGGCCAAAGTAGCCAAATGTAAAATGTTAGTTCTCTAATTTATGTATTCAGATGGTCTTAAATTTTTAAGGTAATTTTAGAAATGTCACCATGTATTTCAAAAATGATGTATTTGCTTTCAGTGACAATTGTCTACACAAGTATTTTTCCAAAAGTCACGACTAATGGTAAAATTGGATATTGTAGTAAAAACTAAACTTATTACTATAATTCTTATATAAGCCACAAACTTATTAAAATCTTTATGGGTAATTAAACATTTTTATACTCAACATATCTGATGAGTTAACTACATTTTTTTAGGCTAAAGAAAAAAAGAAGAAAATCAACTTCTTCTTCGAGTGTCTCTTCTGCTGATGAATCAGTTTCTTCTTCATCATCCTCTTCATCTTCTGGTCACAAAAGGCATAAGAAACACAAGAGGAACCGCTCAGAGTCTTCTCGGAGTTCTAAAAGGCATTCAGCTAAGGCATCCTCAAGTCAGATAGATCAGAGTAAGAAAGATGAGTGCTTCCCAGTTCCAGCTAATACGTCAGCATCTTTTCTTAACCAAAAACAAGAAGTGGAAAAACTATTGGAAAAGCAGGATAGGTTACCATATCAAAAGAAACAGGTAAAAGAAAAAGATAAATGTTCTTTCTCATCATCTTCTGTTGAAATTCCGGATGATTTTGGAGGTAGGTCTGAAGATCCAAGAGATTTTTATGATAGCTATAAAACTCAGGCAGGTAGTAGCAGAACAGAAAAGCCATATAAATCAGAAAGACATTTTTCCAGTAGAAGAGATTCCTCAGATTCTTTTCATAGGAATTCAGAGGATAAGGTAAAAATGTATGGTTATAGAAGATTTGAAAAAGATACAGAAGGAAGAAAAGAGCACTATAGAAAGTGGGAGCCAGGTTCCACGAGACATGCTACCTCACCAGCAAGCTCAGACTACTCTTGGAAGTCAGGAGAAAAATATAAGAAATCCACTTACTCGGGATCACGTGATCTAAGTAGACATGAGCAAAGATATCAATTAAGTAAAAATCAAGGAGAATATGAAAGAGAGGGTAATTACGTGGAGGATATTAAAACAGAGGTTCAGGGAGAGGGACTCAATAGCAAAGACCATTCAGAAGGTGGAGTTAAAAAAAATTTACCTCAAAATTTACTCAATATATTTAATCAGATAGCTGCATTTGAGAAAGAAAAAGGAAATAAGCCAAAAAACTAATATGCCAAGGGAATCCTCAACATTACACTAAAGACTTTTAATAAAATATTTGGATCTTTTAGTAATACAGTCCAGTGCAGAAATCTCTGCTCCCATGATTTTTATTTGTAGACATTATGGAAGTCAATTGCTTTTTATAGCGGTTCTCAAGGTATATTTGTTTCAGTTATAGGTCCCCTTTTCATAGCTTGATTTTTTTTTTTAAATGTGTGTATGTTATGTACAGTTATTTCTTATTCTCATGGTTTAAACTTCTTCACCTAAAGATAACTCTCAAAGTATTGTTTCTTCATTGTACTACGGTATATTAGAATTCCTCGGGTTCACCTTATCTTGCTGTTTGAGAAAATATTAAATTTGTGCATTGAACACTTGGATCATTTTTATCAAAAATTATTTCATTCTGTTAAAAGCTCTTGACTTTCTAAAGAGATTATTTGAATGTTAAATACCATTTTATAATCATTATTGTTTAAAGGTGAATTTTCTTGCATAACATTTTTAAATGGTAGACAGATACATGTCTTGTCTAATTGACCTCTAAAGCCTGATTTAATTAAAATGACTTATGTACCAGATGTTTAAAAGTACTTTAGGAATAAAGCCATGAAAGTTGAATAGGGGCCCATCCTGCTCATCTCTCTTTTTTTCCTTCCTTGCTAACAGTGTAGCCCTAAGAAATGTCTTTAAATATTGACAAGACCATACATTCCCAACAAGAATAGATCAGAGTAGGAAAGAGTCCTTTTAGCAAAAGCAGCAGTGGCAAGTGAAGCACACTATAAATCTGGTCTTCCACTAAGGGAAAGGAAGTGAGGAAACTCCTAGTGTTGCAGATGTCCAGCTGAGAAGGCCTTGAGTGTGTTCTTTGATAGCCTAGAGCTGGCTTGCATTTCTGCTTTTCTTCCTAGAGTCTGAACAGATGATTCAGCTGACAGAACCTGGACTTAACTCAGAATTATTTCAGCAACTAGAGCTGAAGAAGGAAGGAACTTGGATCATAATGATTCTTCCCAAATTATTAAAAACAGTATAGATGAGAGTAGAGATAGGGATACATAGGAGTCACAGGTGTTTAGCATCTCATAGGCTTTAGAATCTTTCCAATTCATGATGACACTGGATGGGTGGGTTGAAGGGTAGCAAGTATCCCCATCTACAAATGTCTAAGTGACAGAATGCTAGCAGAAGAAGACACTTAGTCCTTGTTCTGTCTCTCAGTTCTTGCCAGCAATAAAATACCAAAACTTAATATAACTTAACCATTCCACAAATACTGTGCTAGGCTTTGGTTGGTGGCTCAATAATAGGTAAAAGCTACTGTGCAATTCCAGGGCTTCCCTGATAGCCCAGTTAGTAAAGAATCGGCCTGCAATGCAGGAGACTCCAGTTCAATTCCTGGGTAGGAAAGATTGCTGGAGAAGGGATAAGCTACCCACTACACTATTTTTGGCCTGGAGAATTCCATGGACTGTATAGTCCATGGGGTCACAAAGAGTCAGACATGACTGAGCGACTTTTCATTTTCACTATGCAATTCCAGTGTGTTGGGCCCTGTGCCTTTATATAAATTACCTGATTTCAATAAACTTAACATAGATAACTTTTACTGTTTCTATATTATAAATGAGAAAGCATAGAGAAGTAACTTTGCCAAGGTCACAGTACTACTCCCTGCCTGCTTGGAATACAGTGTTTAATACTTCAACTTCCAGGTAATTTTCTAAGTAAAATAGGGCAAAGAATGAGAATTTTGGTGAACATTCGAAGTGATGGTAAGATTAATCAGTTTTTATATTTCACAAATCTCAATGGAATAATGTTTTACAAAAAAAAAATTCAGCTTTTTACCCATCTTATTCATTGGACTTGGCTGTGCCTTTTGCTGCCTGTTACAAGAAATGACAGTAAATACTCCAGTGATCCAGAGAAACAGGTTTACTACCATTACTGCCTTTCAGAAGGAATTGCAAGTGACAGTTCTAAACAATGACAGTTTTTGTAAGAAATACCTTTTCCCAATATTTGAAGAAGAAGTACTCATTTAATTATATATATTCTGATACATTTATTTGAAAACCAGTTTTATAACATAGTCATACTTCACCTTTTGTTCCAGAGTTCAAAGTGTTGGGCACATATTATGATAAAGAATTGACAGAAATAACTAATTCTTAATCTGGTAGTCTGCCTTTATTGGAAATATACAGAATTCCTATTGCAAATCTAATTACGCCTGACTTTCTTTAAATTGTTTATTAAATCAAGGAAATCTTGAAAACATATTCTTGGTTGTATCTAGAGAGCAGAATCTTCACTATGTTTGACCTATTTCAATATCAGAGTGGCCTGCTTCCTAGAAATTTAAGCTCCACTGTTGTTGACATATAGTGGTTCTCTTTCCTGTCAGCTGTTTTCTTGGTGGAGGGAGGGGGAGAGGTAATGCTAAAAGAAGTAACTAACAGATTTCTTCTCCCAAAGTCTGAGAAATATGTTTCTTTTAATAAATAAAACCTAATTTCAGGATCATCTAGGCTAAAAGTATTTTAATAGTGTTGTAAACTATATAGTACAGTAAATCTTTAGAGATTTCTTCCTAAAAGATTCTGTTACACTAGAAGTGAGTAGTTTCATGGCTAGCATGAAGTTTTTACATTTTTCACTGGATAAAACTTTTCTCTGGTCCTTTTGTATTTCTAACACTTATCTCAGTAGGCCTCTATCAGTATAAGGCACCCAAAAGCATAGGGTGTGATACACTATTTTAAACTTAGGAGACTTTTGGTTTTGTGTTTACAGCTTGTTCAAGAGAGATTTAAAATGTTTATTTATTGGTCTTTCTGCTTTTACCAGTACTGGAGGCACTGCTACCACTAGTTGGTCTGGAAGTGCTGCCAGTTAGCGGAGAGGCTGGGAAGTTCAGCTCTAAAATTTTGATCGAAGTCTGAGAAGCAGAAGTGCTTGTACTCTTAGATGACCTAGAATAAAACCAGAATTACTGTAATGTAATTCAGAATTTTTATTTTAGTAGAGACCCCCTCATTAATCACAAAGATGTCATAATCCCACAACTACTTAAAGAGATCAAAAAAGATATAGTTAAGAGTGCTAATAATGAGTTTTAAAAGATGACCATTAATAGTATCAGGAAATTAGTTTAAAAAGAAAAAGATGATAAACATAAGGTTTGAAATCAGTAGAAAAATAGTTCTGCAAATATATTTCTATTTAAAACATGTTTCAACTATAACTAATTTAGAATCATTAGGTATTAAAAGTTTGCCAAAATCATTCAAAAAAAGGTAAGAGGCAAGAAAACTTGAGTGCTGGCAAGAGTGATTAAAATGATAGGTTATATAATTTGAGCCAAAAAAAAGAAAGTGAGGGAACTATTGACAGGATAAAGTGGTGATGTCATTTGAAAAGCATAACTATCCATACAATTCTGCTAAGTTTTGAAAGTATGCCTTTAAGAAAGTACTAGGGTGGAATGGGTGTTTTTAACTCAGATGACCATTATATCTACTACTGTGGGCAGGAATCCCTTAGAAGAAATGGAGTACCCATCATAGTCAACAAGAGTCCAAAATGCAGTGCATGGATGCAATCTCAAAAACAACAGAATGATCTCTGTTTGTTTCCAAGGCAAACCATTCAATATCACGGTAACCCAAATCTATGCCCTGACCAGTAACACTGAAGAAGCTGAAGTTGAACAGTTCTCTGAAGACCTACAAGACCTTTTAGAACTAACAGCCAAAAAAGATGTCCTTTTCATTATAGGGGACTAGAATGCAAAAAGTAGGAAGAAGAAACACCTGGAGTAACAGGCAAATTTGGCCTTGGAGTACAGAATGAAGCAGGGTAAAGGCTAATAGAGTTCTGCCAAGAGAACACACTGGTCATAGCAAACACCCTCTTCCAACAACACAAGAGAAGACCCTACACATGGACATCACCAGATGTTTAGCACCAAAATCAGACTGATTATATTCTATGCAGCCAAAAATTGAGAAGCTCTATACAGTCAGCAAAAACAAGACCAGGAGCAGCTCAGATCATGAACTTCCTGCCAAATTCAGACTGAAATTGAAAGTGGGGAGAATCACTAAACCATTCAGGTATGACCTAAATCAAATCCCATATGATTACAGTGGAAGTGAGAAATATATTTAAGGGACTAGATCTGATAGAGTGATGAACTATGGATGGCGGTTCATGACATTGTACAGGAGACAGGGATCAAGGCCATCCCCAAGAAAAAGAAATGCAAAAAAGCAAAATGACTCTCTGAGAAGGCCTTACAAATAGCTGTGAAAAGAAGCTAAAAGCAAAAGAAAAAAGGAAAGATAGACTCGTTTGAATGCAGAGTTCCAAAGAATAGCAAGGAGAAACAAGAAAGCCTTCCTCAGTGATCAATGCAAAGAAATAGGAAAACAATAGAATGGGAAAGTCTAAAGATCTCTTCAAGAAACTTACAGATACCAAGGGAACATTTCATGCAAAGATGGGTTCAATAAAGGACAGAAATGATATGGACCTGACAGAAGCAGAAGATATTAAGAGGTGGCAAGAATACACAAGAACTGAACAAAAAAAAATCTTTATGACCCAGATAATCACGATGGTTATCACCTAGAGCCAGACATCCTGAAATGTGAAGTCAAGTGGGCCTTGGGAAGCATCACTAGGAACAAAGCTAGTGGAGGTGATGGAATTCCAGTTGAGCTATTTCAAATCCTAAAAGATGATGCTGTGAAAGTGCTGCACTCAATATGTCAACAAATTTGAAAAACTCAGCAGTGGCCACAGACTGAAAAAGGTCATTGTTCATTCCAATCCCTAAGAAAGGCAATGCCAAAGAATGCTCAAACTACTGTACAATTGCACTTATTTCACACGCCAGTAAAGTAATGCTCAAAATTCTCCAAGCCAGGCTTCAGCAATACGTGAACTGTGAACTTCCAGATGTTCAAGATGGTTTTAGAAAAGGCAGAGGA